CGCCCTGGCCCCGGCCCAGCGCCCTGCCCCCGCAGCTCACCTGCACAGCAACTGCAGGAGACCGGCTTGCCCAAGGGCACTGGCGGTGTCTCTGGGAGCCACGGCCAAGAGGCTGTCCAGGAGGCTGCAGACGGCGGACAGGAGCGCAGGGGTGACGAGCGCGCACGGCTGGGGCAGCGCCACCGACAGGGGCGAGTCGTGCGGGAGCCGCCGGGGCGGCCCGGCCTCCTGCTGACCTGCTGCGGACAGGAAGCAGAGGAGTGGCGGCTGCTGTGCCCGGCCAGGCCCACGCACGGTGCCCACACGGCCTGGGGTTGGAGGGAGGGCTGGGGAGCGCAACGGCCGCAACGGTAACTGCGGGTCCCTCTGTGGTCGTAATTTCCACTGGATTATGTGTCCAGGTAGAGGTTGACTTTATGTTCTTTGTGATATCGAAAGCTAATTAGTCTGAGCCATGCATCTTACTGTCATCTACTGTGCAGACTAGTTTCAGCTTTAATTCTCTGCAGATTCCAAGTTCACCACCTTATGCAAACAGAGACAGTTTTACTTCTTTGATTCCTGCACCTCTCATCACTGTCCCCTGCTTCAGGCCTACACCAGGACTCAACAGTCGTGGGTGTGCGGGAGAAATTTCTAGTGCTGCCTCATTGAGAAGAGGCTGACTCTAAGATGGTGGTATGTTCTGTCCAGGGAGGAAAACACACACAACAGTGTCTACGTTTGTGTTTACTTCAAGACTGTTTTCTTATTTTTTCAGTGGTATCTACTCTTCGATTCCATTTTAATTTCATGCTGTAGCTCCTATTAATGAAATACTTTTAAATTTGATTCCTATTTGTAACAATGTTTCATTATATTAAATGGCTTTTAATCTACTTCCTCCCCTGACTCACATACCATCACCTTTTTAAATTCCTGAGGTCAAATTCTAACTATTTCTGACCCTAAATATCCTCTCATTGTCATGAGACCAGCAACCACGGTGGAGATAAAGCACGGCGCCTCAGACTCCCTCACTGCCGAGGGTGACAGACAGGGGACGCGCTTTTCTCCCAGCCTCACCTCATGTCTTACTCCAAAATGTAGGGGGGGAAGAGATCAAAGCAATAAAGGTGCTGATTTACTTTACAAAACAAACTGACAACACAATTGAAAATACCTGTCGACTGTATTCTGAATTATCTTTCCTGACAGCAGACAGACCTATAGTTTGTCCGGATAATTTTGGTATTTTAAACCAAATAAAGTTGTAAGAGTTAAATTTAGGGAATTTCACAGAAATGGTTCAGGCGGTTTTACAGGAAAATTTAAAATAATCACAAAGCATGCATTATACGTCTTTGGCACTGTTAGGGAGCACAATGCAGAAGAATGGCAGTCATATGTGAGGGAGACACATTTAAAGAATTGATAGCCATTCAATATATTAATAAAGTTTCTATTTTTTATCTGGAGATTATCCCAGCCATTTTTATCTACAGTACTAAACAGATTAACCCTGACATTTTTATTTTTGATGGTTCCTTCCAACTCAGTATATCCAAGGTGGGCTTCCAGATGAGAGATGTCCTGGTGTCTCCTAATAATATTCCAGGGTCTTAGAAAACTTAGAAGCTAAATTTAAAAATGAAGCATTGCAGGAGAAGATTCTTCTCATCAAGAAGATTCCTACTCAAATCACTTTGGGGCATGATAATTCCCAGGCTAGTCAGGACGTAACAGAACAAGCAGTGTAAGGCTAACCCGCTTCTTGGGAAATGGTGAAGGTTCCAGCTGAGGAGGCTAAAATCTCATTATCACGCACAAAAAAAAATCGTCGTTTACCTTTTACTGTTTTAAAGAAAAGGAATTCAGGAAGATATCCAACAACCGCAAACGAAAAACTGTCTCCTTGAAGTTCACGGGCAATACACACATATAAAGCTTTGTAGCACCAGCCAAGGATTTGTTGGAGGCTTCAACAAAAAGGATTTTAAAAAGCTGTTTGGTCAACTACACACAGAAAAGTGCTGTGTGTGAGCCAGTAACACCGAGCACAGACATGCATCTAAGGGCGGTCCTGGGAACAGCACGAGGCCAAACCGACACCAGTGCAAGCCAGCTAGTACACGGAACGCACACGCTTTCCACCAAGCTGTCTGAAAAGGAGCAATTTAACATACTCTCAGGGACACATGCTGACGAAATTCATCACCAAACTTCACTCAAAGCTTTGTCCTGAGTTATTCCAACAGTCTGGGTTTGTTGCACTTTCTACAAGTAAACATTTTTGTTTACTATCAACAGCAATCCTGAAAAGTCAAAATGCGCCACCCTCCATCCCAACCCCCAGCGACCTCCAGGGCCCAGGGAGAAACTCAGGAGGCCACAGTGAGCTGGGCTGTCTCTGCGCCTGCTCGGGAGGCGCCCGCAGGGCCCGGAACTAGGCCGCGCTGGACCTGCCGTCACAGCAGACAGAGCAGAAGACCCCAGCACACGCGCGGTCCGACGTACAGGGCCTGATGAGGAGCTGTAACGGAAGAGCGCCTGCCGCCTGCAACAACAGGGATGGGCATGGCGAGAGGACACCACGTGAGGTGAGGAGAAAACCCTACGCCAGTGCCTCGCGGAAATGACCACGGACGAACAGACCACGGCTCAGCCCAAACCGTAACAAACCCTTGACACCTGGCTTCCATGGGGGGCGGGGTGGGGGCGAGGCTCTAAAACGAATGTGACGACATCAGCCAGCTTGCTCGAACAAGTACAACTGAGAGTAAAGTCTTACTAAACAAGTACTTCTGAATTTGAGAAAGCATTTTCTCTGCTTCTACTTCTATGTTAAAACTACATTCTTTTCAGGGTTGGGATCTAAGGAAGTCTAAGGAATAAAAGCCTGCATACTTTCTAGAATAAACAAAAGCTAAGTTGAAACCTTTAAAATCTATAACATTGGAAGCTTAATAGAGCTGGAAGCAAGTTCTAAATACAAAGAGTAAAGTTTATATATTGCCATTAATAAAAATAAATCCCAGGCGACCCATCCCACATTTCTAACAAAAATGCAATATATTTTGTATGCTCTAAGATAGAAGGTCGGCCTTTGAAGGTTACTCAGGACTAGATTCTCTTGACTTTCGCTGTGGTAAATGTGTTTTGCCAAAAGAGGAAGAAAAATGCAGTTAGCCACATAGCCACCAGCTCCCCAACCCTCACTCCAGGCATCTCAGCTAACCAGCACGGAGTCCCAGCCCGGCACACCGCCTCCGTGTGGCCAACTTCCCGCTCGTTAGTTGGGGGCATGTTTTGGTTCATTTCTGATACACTTATTGTAACTTATTCTGTCATGTTCTGTGACGTTTCATTTCTGTGACTTAATTATTTCTCATCTAGACATTTACTTTCAAAATATCTGTCTGGCCCGACTGTGCTTTCTGAAAGCAGAATGTCTTCCCAGAAGAATACCTTGAGTCGCGAACTGGTCGTGTGAGGCTTCGGAGGGAAGCGTCGCTGAGGGCGCATGGGGCTGAAATCCAACACTCCCTGATGAAGGCGTCACCTAGGAGCCAGCAGAGAAGGCACAGGCAGGCGTTAAGGCGACAGCCCGAGAGGTGGGAGAGCAATACCACTCAGGGTGCCGTCAACAAGGATGTTTATCTAACAAAACTGCACCGGCCAATATAATAGGAAAACATTCCCTAGTCTTCAGAGTTACTAGGGTTTTGTAATTGCATTTTCTACTTCTTGTAAGACCTGGTATACTTTATGTAAGTCGTAATTCAAAAAAGCCAAGTTTTGGGCCCTCCCTGGTGGCACAGCGGGTTAAAGCACAGCACTGAGAAGCTAAAGCCGCTTCAGCATGAGTTCGATCCCCGCCT